GTTGGCGCATGCGCAGAAGCCACCATATGAAAAACCCCATATGGAAGGATACATCCCTGTGAGGTAATAAAGTACCTCAAAAACTATAAACTACAAAGCTCAAAATCTGTAACTACAAACTAAATCTATAAAAACTACAAGCATAAAGTAAACAAAAAGGGAGGGTGGGTTGGGAAACAACGCCTGCCGTGTGTGTCGAGCCAGCTAGCCAATACTCTCAATCTGTAATGCCGCAATATATAGTGCCAAGGTGTTAGCCACGCTAGCTAAGATAAACACACGTTTAGCTTAAAAACAATCAAGCACTGGTGCTGATGATCTTTCCTGTCTTGGCATTGGCTTGAAATTGTCTATACCAATAAACAAGCTGGTTGCTATACAGCTGGTAGTGAGGGGAAAGATTACATTGCTTAATCTGCCACTAAAGGTTACGTAACAAAAGATGACACATTTAAAACTGTATTAAACATAAATAAATAACTTAAATGAACTGTCAAAACTAGGCTAAGTCAAAGAAGTGATAGACAGAGAATAAGGTTGGGCACTCAGGGACTGCTGACGATAATTTATTTCATAAACCGGCGCTTGGTTGGCGCATGCGCAGAAGCCACCATATGAAAAACCCTAAAGACCTCATAAGGGGACAGTAGTTAGAGGTTGAAAGGTAGGTTATTGGTGAAGCTAGGTGATGGATTATTTAATTTTTGGATAATGGATGTTGGTCTCTCTTTTAAAAGAGAGATATTGTTCAGTGGTTATGGCAGTGCATATTAAACTTTTGCATCAGTATATGAAATTGCATGATGGTCATGTGTAAAAAGGCAGGACAGCTAGAAGTTGTTTCAAAGAAAGTTCACTGATGAATGAGTCCTCCATATCAATTCATAAAGTTTGTTTAGATGTGAATTGAATATTAAGAAGCTGTAATCTCATTTGAGGATGAGTGATCGGGAACTCGCTCACACCTGATTACACATGCGTTAGAAGTTCAAGATGAGTGTTCCTGGCAATAACCGCTACATGCTATGAAGGGAATTAACTTAACTCAATATGTGTTGATTTTCATAACCTAGCACTTTATTAAAATTAATCTGTAAGTCCCAGCATGGGTTCTATGGTGTGATAATCTACACTTAACATGCATGTTTATGCATATAAAATAGATGTGATTATATTCCTTGTTACAATCACACCTAGATGCAAATTACATATGTACTTGTCTTCAAAAGTTTTCAAAATGTACATTAAGAAAAGCTGAAATTGTCCAAGACAAAGACAGTCTAAGTTTCATTTGCTTAGAGTCCCTGTAAACGTCAGGCAGTTTTTCTTCAAATCTGACTTGCAAAAGTCAGTACCTTATATTTTTAGTGTGTTTAAGTCTGTTAGTGGCTATCCATCATTGTCACTGTAACAAGATAGATCAGTGATCAGTCAATTCTAGTCTACATTAATCATCTGCAATCCATGGAGTAGTGGTCAATAAAGCAGTTATGTTAATATGTCACTTAATATTTATGTACACAAATCATGGAATTGAATTATTTTTTATTTATCATAGTATTATAATAAACATAGCTATAATGTAGATCTATTTAACTAGCATATACATTGTATTGTTATTCATAATTCACCTGGCATCATAACTCAAGATACTAGCCAGTGTTTGTGGTTTTCAAAAAAAACAGAAATTCATCAAAATCAGAGAATTGAAGATATCATTAGGAAACAAACAAATCTGAGTTACATATATACCAGATTTCGAACCAACCGAAAATGAAAAAAGCTGGGGCAGATGGACGACCAGTAATTATGAATAGCTTTACTCGGCGAAGTCGACATCAGAGCCAAGAAAATGATATATCGGCCAATATATGTATGTGAGACTATGTATATTTCATATAATTCAATGATATTTGATTACAAAAAATTTTGAAATGACTCAAAAATGAAGACAGTTGAATAATGAAAATGTATACTGTCATGTAGTCTCTAGCTTTCAGACAATATATTCATTTTTTATAGCTTTAATAGAGAATGTCTAAGTACAGATCATTTATGTTTTTTTACATATAATTTAACATATATTTTTATTGTTGACAGCTAGTTCAAATTTTAATAGTCAAATTCTCTCTACCTATTAATCTTTGTATTTTTTGTCTTAAACATAGGGTGAAGTCTAATATTCATAATTCAGCTGATTATCCCCCTAGTTGAATATATTTGTGTTTTGGACTGTATGATTCTTACTTAGCATGTCTGATGTTTTGTTGAAATTTTATTTGCTAATTGCTTGAATCAGTCAGTGTTTAATAATTTATGTTTTTTCTTGCTACTTTTTTAATACTATTCAGTGATTGGTGGATTGTTGTCTGCACATTTGTTATCGAAGCAAGCGGGAATGGCAGTTAATTCTGATTGGCCGTGCAGTGGTCCATTGTTGAATTTAGCGGAAAATGTTGCACAGAGAATTTTACCAGGTATGACCATAAATAATATAATTGTCACGCCACATTTATATCTTGTGGTATGAGTACTTGTGCATCCAGGGTTTGCTGTAAGACCTAAAAATGATTCATCTTGCTTCCATTAAAAGTGTAGCATAAAGCCATGGAGTCTAAAAAAAGAGAGTTAAACATCTTTTAGGGGGTTTCTCAACAACTTCTCAACTAAAATAATTATGGCCAATATCAACAAAAATTATGATTATGTAAAAGAATATCGAGTTTATTTATATTTCAGAGTATATTTCAAAAATGACACTAAAGTTTTGCTGAACAAAATGAATGAACTTACAAAGGAATTAGACTCATTATCCAATAGATTTGGGCAAGAGTAATGCCAAAGCAAACTATTGTAAGATTTTATTTACCTGGGGTAATACTGTGCACTCCACTAACAGGAAATCCAAGACAGTGTGTCGATGCTAAAAATGGTGTTGTAGAAAATAAAAAAAGATGGTAAAAAAGAATGGAAGAACAGTGCATATGGTGCGTTGTGTGTGTTGCTGTTATAGAGCCAGTCTGCCATCTACAAAAACAGCTTTTTGCTAAATATCTAGACAGGAGAGTTTTTATTCCACACCAGGTTCAAGAGATATTGTTATGTGAAGGTAAAGATGGTGCATCATGGCAGCCATCACCATGGCGATTAGACATTAAATAGACATACATGAGCATTACAATCACAAATGGAAACAGATTATCATTTTGTAAAAAGTTATACATAATATTGAGATTCCGTCACTACTACACCAAGTGCCAACAATCTGCATTTATAAAGGCATCTAGCTGAGGAGTCATCAGCTGCACATTAATTGAGTCATAAGCACAATGATAACAATGCGTGCTAAAGGCCCAAAGGCTCATGGGTACATGCATTAAAATATTGTTTTGTTTCAATTTTATTCAGCCATGTGCACCACCACCATGACAGTGCATGGCTGCCTTATTGATGTGGTGTGTGGTGTGTTGTATTTTAAATTATGGATGAATATGCATTTGGACTCCTATTACTGACAGTAAGGTGAATTAGGAACAACTTAAAAGGGAAAAAAATAGCTGATTTGTAGAAACGGAAAAGTAATGATATAATGCTGTTACATGAGACGTATTGCATATTGTACGAGTTGAATGAACACGTGTTGGTACCAATAATGAGGATAAGACTGTGAGAGGGCAAATCATATTATATGCATGCAGAATGGAAACCAGAGTAAAAATGTTACTCTTAGAAGAAACGTGACTGAAGGTCTAGAAGATTTAAATTTAATATTAATACTAGTAGTACATGATGAGTGGCTTTCGCGGTGAGTTGCTTTCACAGTGGATAGGGCTTTGTCGCAGTAATTAGTCCTTTCATCAGAGTTGAGAATTAATGTTTATTGTGTCATTAACAACTGGTGTTAATCTGCAAATACCATCCTTGGGAGCTGTTAATTTTTCCTAATAATTTGTGCAGTTGCTTTGTCAGGAGTTCCTAAAGACCCATACTCTGATATTGCCCCCTAGTTTCTTACTTCGACAGAGAAATATTTGACAATTTAACTCACTAATGCAATACAACAAATAAAATTAAGGAATTCCAATATAAAATATTCCATAAGCAACAATGATGGGTGTATTTCAAGGTCAGTCTTTTTTTCGAAAATTTATTTATGGAAACTGGCTTGTCAATTCCCACCACCAATTAGATATAATGTTACAGCATGTTGTCAAATTTTTAACTAATCCAAAATCACTCTTGATAGTTCTGTTTACTTTGTATGTGTACCATGGTTGCATTTGAGGTTTTTATCATTTTAATGATGTGCATATTTTAAAGCAGGAGGGTTGTCCTCTGCACACTCGGGAATTGAGTCTCAAGCGACGATAACAACACACGCTAAAAACGCTCATGGGTAGACACTTGTTTGTAAACAATTTAATACACGCTATGGCTAATACTAATACACTTTAATACACACAGGTACACTTTACAAAAATACCCATGATATATTAATCATAGAATCCATTATATAACCTTGACGAAAGGAATTATTATTTTTCCTTGCTATAATGATAACATAACTTCATACGAAAATCCTAATAAATGAGATTTAAAAACAAAGGGAATTGTCACTTTCCGTAGTGCTGCAGGTTTTACATCAGAATAGAAAAAAAAAAGATAGAAAGAAGGCTCCAGAAACGAAACAGTCTGTCAGCCGTCACCGTCCATACCAGCAATATGACACATGGAAATTGAGAATCACAATTGCTTAGAAATAAACACTAAATACACCTATTCCGGCTATCAATCGAATCATCTGTCTTCTTGAGTGATTTAACTGATATTTCCATTCATTTGTTGTCTGAGAGTGAATGTTGTCAAGTTCGGGAGTGTGTCTTACGGCGACATAAACATTATTGATTACAATCAAAGACGCGTTGAACAGGAAGTCTATTTGGGCTTGTGCTATTGTCAAATTTCGGAGAGCATGCGCATGCGTCAGATGGCCATGTAAATGTAAAGTTAATAAATGCAGTTCGAAAATTAGACACCATTTGTATTATTCGATTACAGATTCCCAGGGAACAAATATTAGTGTTGTAATTCACTCTGGTGGGTTGACATAGGTCAAAAACAAATTTGAGAGACTCCAAAAAAAAATTTAATGCACCTGAATTTCACGACAAACATTTCAACGAACGTTTCAATGTCTTTGTTATCTCTTGTGCAACTGCAGTCCTTGAAACAATAACTCTTATCAATGTTTATTGCATCAACAGCCCTGGCAAAACATATCATAAACGTTCTACCCGGTAGTTACAAAAATCTATCCAGATCAATGTGCCTTTAGCCATGTTTAGACAGCTTTCTGCATGTGCTGATAAAGATTTTAATCCATAAACTGACAATTGAGATTTGTAGAAATAATATACACCATAACAAATACTAGCAAATTGCAAAATATTGCATGTTCTTTGATAATTTGATAAAATTACAGCAAGTTTCCAGATACCTCACTATGAAAAAAATCAATAAACTTAAAAGTCACAGAGTTCTGCCCTGGACATTATAGAGTAGGAGTTCCCAACTGTTTAATTTTGGATAAACAAAATTTAGCATAACAATTAATACAATAGTGGTGATTAACATATTATTATTGTTATGGCAAATTATTCCATGCTTCTGTTTCTAGAGAGAACACTGAGGTATGTCAAGTAACATATTATAGGGAAAAACTAAAATGTGCATTAAAAAATACACCCCTTACAGTTACCACATTCCATGTGTGAATGCATTTTGTAGTTGGACACCCAGAATGCATTATTCCTATAAGCAAGCATAGCACCATGTTTCACAATAATAATCAATCAAACTTTGTGAATTTAACTAGGATTTTCAATTTTTGTCAAGTTCATATGCAATAATTATTTTTTGTGAAAACCTTCTACCAACATTCAATCCAAGCTGATCCACTAACGTTAAGACGAACATGTGCCGAGGATTATCTGTGCAGACTCAAGGAATCCATTTTCAGCTCATGTCAGAGTGTTTTCAGCATGTGTTGACTAGCATGTGCCAAGTACATTCATCTGAATGCAGTATTTGTGAAGGACCGGTTTAATTATGCAACACGTCTAGCAATGGCTGATAGTTTTTATATTCCCAAAATGAATCTAACTTTATGCCGAAAAAAAATTCAATTTATTGCAACAAACCATTGGAATTCCCTCCCTAGCACAATCAAAAATGTACCGGTAATGAACAGACACACATTTAAATTCAAATTAAAAAAAATGCTCTCCTAATCGGTGAAATGACGAAATGTCTACTATAATTTTATTTCATATGTTTTTATCTATACTTTTCCCTTGTAAGTTGATTATCACTGTTTTGATTATGTATGATTAAGTGTTTTTTTTCTCCAAACAATAGACAACAAATCAGTTTATTTTTTTTTTTAATTTAAGATTTTGGGTCTATTCAATTATTTACAAAACTATGTACTATATATAATTTATTGATATTATTATTTACTGTTTATTTTGTTTATTCTTTTCAAAGGTCATGGACTAGACTTGTTCTAGGGAACTATATAAATAATATCTAAAAATATATATATTTAAAATTCAAATTATACACTTACCAATATTTATTTAATTTTATCAATCTGACCTCGTATCCTACCTTTTTTGTTGCAGCAATTTGAATTATCAGTACATGGAAACAGCATCCACAGAAACCCACAGACGGTTAAAGTTATCAATAAATGCCAATTATATCATATGTTTTACCAATAAAAAATCAATTATTTGTATCAATAATTTTTATGGATTATTATTATGTTTATGTTCATTGACATAACATAAGATAAAATAATTATAATGAGAATTTTTATATTAAATTTAATAAAAAGATAAAAACAGATGTGCTGTCTGCAAATTTTACGAATACTGTAAAAGGGTTAATTAATCACAGGGTTTTAATTTTGCTTATTTCGCTGACTGGAAAATGCGCTAAATTAAAACCCAGTGAATATGTAAAATATAGCATAGAACACATTATCTAAATGATAAAACTTTGAATTTAAAATCCACCTAATATGCCTGAAATGGTAAATCAGCGAAATTTTAACCCAGTTAAAATTAGTCATTTTACAGTATTTGGGATATCACCATTTATTTATGTTTAAACATCTAATTCAGTTATTAAAAGTATGAAACAAATAATTTTTAATTTTATCTGGAATGATAAAGATCAAGTAAAATGTAATACAATAATCGCATATATGGGAAATGGGAGACTAAAAATTGATTCTCTTCTGAAAGCCAGAGGTTTAACTGTATTTACTGTATTTACTTATTGACTCTTACACAATCCCCGGAGGGAAAGAAAATGGTCACAAAGTACAAGGAGAAATATATATATATAAAAAACAAAACAAAAACACAATATACTAAAAAACAAATAACAAATACAATCACTAAATTACTAAATAAAACAAAATCTCTAAAATACAATCTAATATAAAATTACAAAATTGACAGCAGGCATTAAGATGTCAAGTAAGACCCTGCTTCCTGACACTGATGGTTATATTGTATATCGCTTTAAGTGCCTTTAAATACCTTCACTACAGTAGGTCCTGTTGTATAGCAGGCATTCATGCAATACTGTTAAATACTTCTTTTTTTGGCTGGATATAATTTTCGCTGAAAAGACTTTTTGCGTGTTTTTGTATGAAATTTTTTTTTTTACTGATTTTTGATGACTTGAATATAAAATATATAACTGAACCATCCCTTCGGCGAAAATAGCGAAAATTAATTCCAAGTGGAAATAATTTTAAGTATGTTTTATTAAAGTTGCGAGGGTGGTAATATAATTTTTCTTTGCAATTATGACGCAGAAAAACTGGAAACAGTTGTCTCATCGTTTTTTAGACATCTGCCGGGAATAAACACAGATTGATCATGACAAACATGATGTAACAGGCAATCATTGGCTCTGCAAAAACAAATATACAATCAAATTGAAAATTCACAGTAAATAGAAAAATTTATGCAATTATTTATATAATCATAACTGGAATTACTGGCAAGCAAATACCTTATCAACTTTAGATTGATTTTGCTTTCATAAGGATTAAACTGCAATACAAAAACAGTGGAAAAATTTAAATCTATAATAACACTCAAAGGGTTTGAACCAGAAAATCTAATTTAATGTAATTTTTCATATATACATATCAATTAATTTGCACAATTAAATCTAGACTCGTAGATCTCTATGATGTGTTTCCAGATTTTATCAACTTTATTTTTAGTTTAACTTCATATAACACCACATTATCAACAGATCTTGGAGTTTTTCAATTCCAGATCATTCATAGATACATACAATGTTCTCAAAACTCTTTAAATGGAAGCTATTTAACTCCTTGTCATGTACTGTGTGTCACACAGAAATTTAGATCTTGCATCATATTATTATTTGTTAAATACCATTGTGTACAGTCATTGTGGAAAAGCAGCAGAATTGTAATTTAATTATGAATACAGAAAATACAAAATATTATGCTAGGCATTTCTTATGTAGACAATATCATATTGAATCATTTCATTTGAAATCCATATGCAAATGCAGTGGATATTTTGGCTTTAACCTTTTCACCACCAGTTTCCTCTTTTCATCACAAATTTACAAAATAGTCTTGTTTATAGTCTATACTTTCCTTCAGGACATTGGGACAAAATTTGCCAAATTTTTGGAGTAAAAACTGAAAATTGACTATAATTGACTCCCGTGTGCAAAGCACACAATGGGAGTCTTTGCAGTTAGTTTGTCTGTATGTATGTGTGTATGTGTGTCCGTCTGTTCCACTGATATCTCAAGAACAATACATTGATTTTTGATGAAACTTGGTGCATAGATGCTCTGGGCCAATACGCAGATTTGATTAGGTTTTGGTGAAAAACGATGCATATTAATTACCTAATTTGCATGATAATTAGCTGATTTTTAGTTGTTCCATGACTGAAACTTAGCACAATTTTCAGCTTTTCCACTGATATCTCAATTACTAATCATTACATTTCAATAAAACTTGTTACATAGATATCATAGGACAATGCACAGACCTGATAGTTTTCAGGGTAATATCAGTACATATTAATTACCTAATTTGCATAATTAATTAATTTTCAGCATTTGCTATCATTCAATGACACTTGGTACATAGTTACTTAAGAACTGTGCAGACCCATGATTAGTTTTTGGGTAAATGTTTGTGCATACTAATTACCTTATTAGCATAATTAGTTAATTTTCAGCTTTTTGCCAAGTACTAATCATCATATTTCAATGAGACTTGCTACATAGATCTTCTAGGACTATGCAGAGACCTGACTAGTTTTAGGGTAAATAATTGTGGATATTAATTATCTATTTTGTTCCATGAATGTTCCACTGATATATAAAGAACCACGAATTGGAATTTAATGACACTTTTAAAGAGTACTCATCATCACATTTCAATGAATCTAGAACTATGCAGAGACCCAATTAGTTTTTGGTAAATATTTATGTTTATTAATCACCTAATTAACATAATTAATTAACACTGATATCTCAATTACTGATCATCACATTTGAATAAAATTTGGTACATAAGTACTCTAGGACAAAAGACAGGCCTGATTAATTTTGGGTTAAAATTTGTTCATATTAGTTACCTGATGTACATAATTAGTTTTCAGCTTTTCCATCTCATGTACAAGTAATTTTGAATTAATTTTTAATGTGTCTTCAATACTCTCAGCACACAGGAGTTCTTTCTAAGCTTTCTTTGATTTTCCCTGTTGGCTTCAAAATTAGGGTTCATTCCAAGAAATATTGTAGAATATAAGAAAAAAATGCAGAATAATTTAGGCGAGGAAGTCTGGTGGTGAAAAGGTTAATAATAATAATTATAATTGTATTGCATCTTTAGAAATACAGTATATAGCAATAGATATATTAATCAATACTGAAAAATTATTGTATTCATCATTAAAAAACAACAAACATATTAAACATAAATTGGCTTTAAACGAAGACAAAGTCCATTATCAGAAATGAGAGCCACTTGGGGATAAATGAATGAATCCTTCAACTACCATCGCCAACACTGCTCATCAAACAATCAAGACAATTAACTTATGTAAACTGATAATAACTTTATGTCCAACTCTGTCTGTACATATTTAATGATATCAAATCAAAATCCGAAAAAAGCTAATTGGCATTGAGAGGGCAATTGAATAAAATTAACAAACCACTACAGCCAACATCTCAGTTTACTTTTTGTTTTTATCTGTTGTTTTCAGTTTTCTATTTTGTAAAGCCAATATGTATTTATTTTCTGCAAAATGAAAAATTAAACAAATATTAAAAATAACTGTATTTACGTTTTTCTTATTTCAAAATATTTCAAATTTCAGGCAGTTTAGATTGATGTATTGGTTCACCATATGCAAATGAATAAAAATGTTACCATAGAAACCAATGGTAAATGGTGCAAAAATCATCATTTTCATGGGTGGTTGATGAATTTCTTGGTGCCAAATATTTCGGTGATTTTACTTTATTTTAGGAATTATATGAGCAACAGCATAATAAATATGTTAAAAGAAAATGTAGCAATTTGTTCTAATGATAACCGTCCATCATAAAAGCTCACATCGTGGTTTCTACAATGTAATTGACTGTTACATCAACTCACTTGTGTATATACCGGTAGTTTCAAATATTATGTTATTTTGTTTTTTAGCTTTTAACACGCCCACTGGTATGCCATATGGTACGGTCAACTTGCAGTTTGGAGTTCCTGAGAATGAAACACCAATTACCTGTACTGCTGGAGTTGGTACATTTATCATAGAATTTGGCACTTTGAGTCGACTTACTGGGAATCCAGTATACGAAAATATTGCAATGAAGGCACTACAGTCATTGTGGACCACAAGATCAGAAATTGGTTTGGTGAGTCTCTAATAACAAAACTTTTTTTCCTATTTATTTTTTTTCACGTATAATAATAATAATAATGTTTATTCAACCTTTGTATCGGCAGCATGAAAACAGTAATACATAAATAAAAAATTACATTTATCATTTCTTTTCTATATTGCCATAAATCAGTTACATATTTCCTAATTAAAGCTGATGAGGTATTTCCCACATTTTCATTTATGTTCCATAGTGTATCACCAAAAAGGAAATTGAACCTATAATTCAACCCCCCTGAAAGAAAACTATTCATTAGTGATGAAGATTCAACATTGTTTCTCAGTGAGGTTTCTAATGCTAAATAAAATTCCTTTCTATATGATTAGATGACGTACAAATATAA